GGAAGCATTTCAGCCAAATTCCTTTATTTCTTCTTATTTATAAAAGCTTTTCTTCTGGATTTCTATATTAAAATTACCCAAGGAAAGGTAAATCAACTTTCCCTCAATGGTCATCTGGATTGCACTAAGAAGTCCCTCAGCTAAAGGTATTACACAACTTTTCTTAAGAAAGAGTCCATATGTTTTAAAATAATGGAATTCTGCCTACTTGGCCTACTGTTCTTATAATCTGAAACTTTACAACCAATGATATGTTTTTTATAAGTTATCTTATGATTAACCTTTTCTAAGTTATGGAAAGAAAAAAACTGCCAGAGAACAGTGATACATAATTAGTGGAAAAAACAAAAGAACACTCAGTTTTCTGAATAGGAAAGACTATTTGTGGGTTATCACAATAGATAAAGGTGCGATATTTATTTTGAAAAAAAAATATTCATCTTCTTTGGCTTATTACTTTCTTTAAACATCAAAATACTGTAGATTAATAAAAAGAACTGTTGGGACTTCCCTGGTGGCGCAGTGGTTAAGAATCCACCTACCAACTCAGGACACGGGTTCAAGCCCTGGTCTGGGAAGATCTCACATGCCACAGAGCAACTAAGCCCGTGCGCCACAACTACTGACCCTGCGCTCTAGAGCCCGCGAGCCACAATTACTGAGCCTGTGAGCCTAGAGCCCGAGCCCGTGCTCTGCAACAAAGAGAAGCCACCGCAGTGAGAAGCCTGCACACCGTAACAAAGAGTAGCCCCCGCTCGTTGCAACTAGAGAAAGCCCGCGCACAGCAACAAAGACCCAACGCAGCCAAAAATAAATAAATAAATAAATTTATAAAACAAAAAAACCCAAAAAGAACTGTTAAAAAATTATGCTGCCACAGCTATTTACTTTTACATTAATTACCTATTAATTCCAAAAGAACACATTATGACAATAGCAGGAATCTGAAATGAATGAAGCATTTAATTACCTTTAATTCCCACTGAAGGGGCTCCTCCAGCTACAGCAGCCAAAGCATATTCAATCTGGACAAGTTTACCAGATGGGCTTAAAGAGAAACAAAGGTATTGCTAAATTCACATTCTCAAATACTTATTAAAGGAACACCTCTGAGAAAGGGCAGGTAAGTAATCAAGCATCGAGGAATAGCTGGGCTTTGAAAATTTATCATCAAGTTGTACGGAAACTAAGTTTATTCATGGTGTAACATTAATCTCTTTCCTTAGGTTGTTTTTTCTTGTCTGTCCCTTAAAGCAGCATCATTACTGTTGCCTTTCACCGCTTACCAACCTTGTGACTTTGGGCAAATTACTTAACCTCTCTGTGTCTCAGTTTTCTCATCTGTAAAGGGGATAATAGGAGGATAGTAGTTACCTATGAATATTTCAAAGGTTGTTGTGAAGATTAAATGAAGTGATGCCTTTTGTTCCTGGCACAAAATTAGCAGCAAGCAAATACCAAAAAGTAACATTATTAAGAACAGGTATGTGTCTGTTAAATACCAAATAACAGCAAATAATCCATGTGGGTGGAGTTAAACATTTTATAAAGCAGACATGGCCTAAGACATAAAACCTAGATATCAATCACAACAAAGTATCTGCTATATAATACAAAACTATTTCGAGATGCCATGAGCTGGTTATACTTAACATTTCTGGTTCCATGAGTTTGGCAGCCAAATGCTACTAGCTAGGCCCAAACTGGCTTTTTAGGTCACATTTTATTTCAACCTAGCTGTTGAGTTAGAACAATTACTATAAATGTCACCAACCTTTCTATTTTATTGACAAAGTCCTTGAATGAAAAGTAATTTGTCCAAAGTGACACACAGCTAAGGTCCACATCTCCAGTCTACTACTGAAAATATAATCTTCAGTTTCAGAAGGTCATCTGTTTTATTGTCACAAAATTATAGATATTCTCTTTGTCTCTCAAGTCTCAACTCACACCATCCCATCTTGCTCCAGACACACAACTACTCAACATTCAAAAACCCCTCTGACAAGCTAATCCCTCTGTCTGCAATGCACTTCACCACTGTCTGGTGAACTCCTTCCAAGTCACCCTCTAATCCTTAGTAGAAATGTCACGTCCTCAGGGAAGCTGCCCTGACCACCCAGACTAGGTTGAATCCCACACACTCATACCTATACTGTCCTATGCTTCCTCTTTGGCTAAGATTCACCACACTTGAATTATTTTTTCAACATTTACGAAGTGTAAGCTCTGTTCAGTCAGTACTCCAACACACAGCCTATGACCAGGTTCATCTGACTGACAAGACACACATCTAGACCTATTTAAGGAATAAGCCTAGGGGCAGCAGTTTAAAGACTGTTAAATGACAAAATTAGCTGACTTGAGCAGAATAACAGCAATAAGCATTTACATTTTTTAAATTAGGCTGTACTTGTTTTCCTTTAATGGTCCCTATTTCGATAATCATATCATGACTTTCTGGGTCCATCCAGCTTTCAATTATTCTTCAATACCTAGTTCAAATACCTCTGGGGACATTTTAAAGGATTAGGTAAACTTAAAAGTTAGCTTTTCTTCTGCTGCCATAATCACACATGTACACTTCTGTCATCGCATCTTTCTGTATGAAAGCTCACGAACCTGGGAGCTCACCGAGCTATCAACCGTCTTTGTATTCAATCATGCCGCTACCCAATTCCAAAGCACCAGCATCTCTACCAGGGATAAGTGAAATAGCCGTCTAACTAGTTTTCATCTTTTCCCCTCTTACTTCCCTTCCCCCACCCGGAGTTACTTTTGTACCATGTCATTCCCCATTTAAATCCTATAATAACTTCTTGGTTCACTTACAATAAAAGCTCCTTACTCTGGCCTACAGGGCCCTGCAAAATTGGCCTGACCCATGCTAACTCTCTGCTCATTATACTCTAACACACTGGCCTTCTTATCAGTTCGGTCTGTCTCAACTTTGGCACTTTCATACATGCTCTTCCCTCTGTCTGCAACTCTCCCTACCCCTAAATCTTCAAACAGTTGGCTCCCTTTCATCTTTCAGTCCCCCAGAACACTGGTCTTTCCTGACTACCCAATCTAAAGTTTTGTTCCTTCTTTCTCCCTCTCTTGATAAAAATTCCTGAGTAAAGGAAAAACATTCTTCAGAATGCATTAGTAGGCACCCATTTGTTTATCCACTTATTGTCAATATCCCCAACTAAATGTAATCCACAAGAACACCTCCTATAGTATAGTCTCTTGTCATTCCACCTTTAGTAGTTTAACTCTGAGTACAACAGGCTGGAAACAAATTTTTTACTCTAAAACAGAAATGCACTATCATGTTAAAAAACAAAAGAATGTGTTTTAATAAGGAAAATTATTATAGAAAGATTCATTCCCTGCTAACATATAGTTGTTTTATGTTTCAGCTCCACGAGGATTACACTCTCTTAAAGATAAAGGTCCAGGTTTGCTTTGTTCACGAATATGAACAGTGACTACTTGGCAAACATTGCTCCCTATTGTTGTATATGATGAGACCTTTTATTAAAAGAAAGGTATTTTAGCATTTTAAGACGACGTCGCACAGTAATGGAAAGTGTATTAAATTTGTCGTCAGAAAGAACCCAGTCTGAATGTTAACTCAGCTACTCACCTATGACCAGGGACGAGTTATTTAATTTGCCTGAGCTGTGGTTAGCTCATCTGTAAGGTGTTGAGATAACATTTATCACAGATGGTAGCCCAAAGAGATGGACTAAGCTCCACCCACACAGAAAGTCCTCAACAAGTCAGATATGGCCCGCCTTCAGCAGTCAGATAAGAATACATTTTAATTAAACGGGGCATCACTGGTCTGTAGGAAAATGGGCAAATTGAATCCTTCCCCAGTCGATTTGTTAAATCCTTTGGTGACGGTTTTCTTACATTGGTAATGATGACCGCTTAACTCAAGTTTACGTTGAAAAATATACTTATCTACCTGTTCTAAAATTTAAGAAGCCTACAATCTTTTTTTAAAATAAATACATCCCCTTTTGTAAAATAAATACATCCCCTTTTTTTAAAATAAATACATCCCCTTCCCAAAATCCCCTTCTTTTTTTAAAATAAATACATCCCCTTTAAAATAAATACATCCCCCTTGCCAAAACGCAAACGTAGCCTAGTAGTTCGGCGCCTACAAAGACTAGAGAATAGAAAGATAAATAACGCTTTCACTTTCAGTCCTTAAACTTCCAGTGGGGGCACCAAAGAAAACGAAAGCGGGAAGAGGTTTCGAGAGACATTAGTGCCCAATGGAGACTAAGACCCGGACCAAACTGTAAAGTTAGGGCTTTCCGAGAAAAAGGGCCCCCATAGGTCTGACCAAGATTCCGAGCTCCAGAAACTCCCGAATCAGGCCTACTTCGGTCAGGAAGGAAATCCTGAATTCTGAACGGGACACCCGGAGGCAACTAATGCAAAGCTACCTTCTTCCCTAATCTCCAAAACTAAAGAAAATCCCTGGGTGAGGGCCTCAACCTCCAGCAGCGTCAAGGTCGCCCCGGACCCCCCGACTCGCGTTCCCACGAACCCCAGGCACTACTGCTCCCCAGGCCGCGGGAGGGCCCTGCAAATGACTTTGCAAAGTGGCATTTCCACCCCCGTTCCCTACTGGGCCCTCCGGAAGCACCAAGCCAGAGACCATGACGGTAAAAACCGGGTCAGCAGAGTTCCTGCAACCTCGGTTACGAGGAGGACCTCCGGGGCCCCTTCCATACCTGAATGTAGTCAGCGAAAAGCTGTAACCACGCTCCGCCATCTTTACCCGAAGACCCAGCGCACTTCCGCACACATGCGCACTGCGGCCCGTTTCTTTTCATTTCCCCTCCCCGCGCCTTCCTTTCCCTCTCTCTGATTGGAGGAAAGTCAGAGACGCTTCAGGGGCATGCTGGGAGTTGTAGTTCTAGGTGCGCGTTTGCCCGCCTCTGCGTGTGTGCGCGCATGCTCGAGGTAGGGGCGGGACCCAGCGGTTCGGTGGGCGTGGTTTACGGGAGCAAGATGGCGCCCGCCATGCTGATGCGGAAGGTTCTGCTGTGGCCCGCAGCCCAGGGACTCCTCCGGAACTTTTGGGAGCAACTGCAGCGGAAACTTCGGCAGAGCCGGCCAGGCTTTCCCAGTCCTCAGTGGGGTACGTGGAGAGGGGTGGTGGGGAGGGGACCCCAGGCAGAGTGGTGGGCACCGCTCGTGCTCTGCCCTGCTTCCGCGTCCTGATCTTCGGCCACGCGTAGGGGACGTTGTCCTGGACATTCACTTACTTAGAAACAGGAAAAAAAAGTCCTCTGATCGTCCCATTCGTACACAGAGTGTAGCCGAAGCTCATTAACTTAGCATCAAGGGACGCCACTATCTAGATTCTCTTATCTTTCCTTTCCAGTCATCCCACCCCCTAAAGCAATTTGCTCTCTGTGGCGTTTGAGCTTTGTGAAGTTGAATCCGGATCCCATGTTTTCCCCGGAAAGTGATTTTAAAGGGAAGTGTCTTGGTTGTTAAAATTGTCATTGCTTTGACATTTACATTCCACTCGATTTCCAAGGTATCCCGAACATAATAATGATAATACCCAGGCAGTCTGAACCGTGAGCCCCCCTATATGTCAAAGCCTACATGTGCTTCCTGAGATAATCTCCACAACAATCCCATTAGGTGTCTCCACTTTTCAACTGAAGAAGTAGGCTCAGAAAGGTCTCAAGGTCACACAGACCTTCCAGAGCCTGCGCTATTACATCAGGCTATGCATAGCAATACTTTTAGATATATTGACAAGGAATACAAGTTGTTAAGTGTTAGACAGCTTTGTATATTTTTAAGAGTTCCTAAAGTCAAAAGAACTGTTGCAAGTCTGAGGAATATTGTAAAGAGAGGGTAAAGGAATCTCTCTGATTTTATAAACAATTTTAAAAACAAAAGTGAAATGTTGATGATCACATAAATCAATTAATATTCTACAAAGAGTGATGAGCTAGTTCTTTTCCTTAGAGAACTGACGGGGATTGAGATTAAATATTATGAAGAACGAAGTGACTTAAAGGGCCTACCAGGATATGACTGAGGAGCTAACCCAATTTGAATGTAATATAAAAGGGCAATCAACAGTTATCTCAGTGCCAGTAGGAAGTGGATTTTGGAAATCTCAAGCTTAGATTTATTCATGTTTACTACTAAACCCCTGAGTTCTGTATTATGAGAAACTCTTGGTAGAATTTAACCGATTCATTTAAGCAGGTGCCACTAAGAAAAATTCTGTGTTCTTTAAAATTATGTGTGAGCTCTACTATATTTCAGTAGCTACTAAGGTTTCCTGATAAATGCCTGTTGAGTGTAATATTTTATATGTGCCTTTTGATATATCATTGTTGATTGTTAAGGAGAATGATACCTGTAAATGGTCATTTAGAAGTTAGAAATTGATTCTGTATCTCCATGTTTGTTTTGTAGGACCAGCATTAGCGGTCCAAGGTCCAGCTATGTTTACAGAACCAGCAAATGATACCAATGGCAGTAAGGAGATTTCCAGCTTTTTGGAGAACATCTTTTGGATGGCAGCTCCCAAAAACAGACGCAGCATTGAAGTTAACAGGTGTAGGAGAAGAAACCCTCATAAGCTTATTAAAGTTAAGGTAAGATGCTGATTTTTGTGGGTGTGCTTTTTCTCGTGTCCACCACCGCATGTTCTGTTGGTTTATTCACATAACCCATGAGTGAATTATTTTCAGATCTTACATGCCTACATTCCTCTGGCCTAAATTAAATACAATATTCTCGTTATGTATGTGTGTGTATCTACTGTCTTGTAGCCTAAGTCTTAGGAACATAGTCAAGGAGGGAGTTTAGAGTCTGGACAGAGGACTGGGTTGTTAAGAGTCTACGTGACTTTTGTATTGTGAGCTGTGCCAGTCCTGAGCTGTGTGATTTTGAACCATATATGAATAAACATTTTAACTATGGCAGACCCTAAAATTAAAGTCAGAAGCGTAGATCTATTCGATTATGGGGTTTTACTAGCCCTTACAGATTTATTCTGTTCTTCACTGTATCCAATAAGGTACTGTGAAGGAAAATCCTCAGATAAGTAATAAAAATAGCTAATATCTATTAAGTGCTAATGATGTATCTAAGCGCTTTACATGAATTTTCTCATCATATCCTCACAACAATCCTCCAGAGTAAATATTGTTTTGCTAAGTTTTAGAATGAAGAAACTGAGGCAAAAAGAATTTGCCCGTGGTCTCAGACTTAAAAGGTGAAGCAGGATTTGAACCCTAGCAGTCTCCTATTGAAGTCACATTCTTCTCTTGAAACTTTGTGTGTGTTCCTATCCTCAGACAGTTCTAGATCTCAATGCTCTTCTTCCTCACCCTCCCCACCATGTCCCATGGGTACACTTTCTTCATTGATCTAGTAACAAAAATTTTAGCATTTCTTACCTTTTTTAAAAAAAAAATTTTATTTATTTTTGGCTGTGTTGGGTCTTCGTTGCTGCGCGTGGACTTTTCTCTAGTTGCTGTTGTCTTTGTTGTGGTACTCGGGTTTCTCATTGCGGTGGCTTCTCTTGTAGTGGAGCACAGGCTCTAGGCACGTGGGCTTCAGTAGTTGTGGCACACGGGCTTAGTTGCTCCACGGCGTGTGGGATCTTCCCGGACCAGGGCTCGAGCCCATGTCACCTGCATTGGCAGGCGGATTCTTAACCACTGCGCCACCAGGGAAGCCCGGCGTTTCTTACCTTTGATTTGTTAATTTATGGCTTTAATAGCCGTGATTTGAGTTCCTGTTTACTCCACGGCATTCCCCAGCAATGGGGCAGTACAGATGGAACTCAAGGACAGAAAATGGACTTTCATGAGCCTCCACGTTCAGTATTAAACCAAACCCTTAGAACTTAAGCTCTAAAGTATTATTGAGTCACAGTTGGGACCAGATTTAAAATGTGCAACTGAAAAATACTTCATTAATTGAGGCACCAATAATTCATACAGTTTGGTTGAGAGAATTTAAGAGTTTAGGAATGTGATCTGTTACATGACTTCCCTGACTTTGTTTTTTCTGAGGGAAAAGAATATCTCTTGTCTTGTGCATTAATTTCCTTTGGTGAATTGTTTTCTGCTACATATAGTGTGTTATGCTGAGGGATTTGTTAGGAAAAGGGCACCAAGTGACGGTGGGTATTTTTTCCATACCTCGAAGATGGATGTGCGATCCAGTTTTCCAGGCATTGGAGTAAGATGAGAAGTCGGTGAGGCAAATGATTTGCAAGGTTTTTTGTTTCGTTCAGAAAATGGAGTTCTTTTTGTCGTCTGCCTCACAGATGTTTGTAGATTAATCTTCGGAAGTGCTCAGAGTTTCTTTGATGTTCCCGTTTACTATTTTTCTTTATATTTCAAACCTACCTTTCGAACACAATGAAAGGACTTCTTTAGAGGTTAGAATTGTCTTATTAAAGTTGGGTAGACATATAAAACTCATGAAACCCTCAAATTGTAATATATAGGGAGTTTTACATTAAGGAATAATCAGTGTTAATTTATAGGAAGAAAACTCACACCACATACCATACAGGAATTTGAATTACACTCTGATGACCAGGGGAAGCCAACTTGTAATGTGTTTATCACCTTGTTCTTCCCAGGATAGACTGAAAGAAAAAGTCAATTCCCTTTACCTTGGTGTCTTATTTAAGATGCTGGCTGTGTGGTTCACCCCAATGTGTTGATGGGCTCCTTATCAGATGTTTAGTTTTTGAGGATGGGGGAATGGAGTACCGTTTCACGTAATAAGACTGTTGTATTTAAGTAAAAATGTACCAGATTCAAAGTCGGTAGACCTGAATTCTAGTCCCAATTTTTCTACTAATTCAAATCAATGTGTGTCCTCAGTTTCCCTATTAAAATGAGGTTGAACTGGGTGGTCCTGTGACCTTGTGCGGCATGGACATTCCAAGAAAGTTTACATATAAGCCTCATTCCTGTCAGTGATGTGTGCGTTATATTGCGTCTTGTTAAAATGTTTTTGTTTGGTTGGGTTTTTTTTAAGAACAATATAGACGTTTGTCCTGAATGCGGTCACCTGAAACAGAAACACATCCTCTGTGGCTATTGCTATGAGAAGGTGCGTACAGAGACAGCGGAAATCAGACGACAGATAGGGAAGCAAGAGGGAGGCCCTTTCAAGGCTCCTACCGTGGAGACCATGGTGCTGTACTTGGGGGAGACACCCTCCAAGCAAGACCAGGGCAAGAGGATCATCGAGCGAGAACGGAAGCGGCCATCCTGGTTCACCCAGAATTGACAGCAAACATGTTTCTAGAGGATAACTTCACACAAGTCGTTTCTCCTGAAAAAGAGGAAGATTCTTTGTTTTTATGTTGGTTGTGTGCTTGTTTTTAAATCATCAGCATAGCCTGAAACATTCTTTATAAGCACTTAGTTTTTTGCGGGTAATTTGAAGAATGCATCAGGAGTAAAGTCTGAAAATGTTTGTTTATGCAGAGGCTCAATGGATTTATGTGTCTGTTTCTATTATACTATGAAGTTTTAGTGAACAGAATTTTCAGGACAGAAAAATGAAACCTAATTTAAAATTCGCAGCCAGAATTATGCGTCTGGGCTCTGGTTTTGTTTGTTTGCCACTGGTTTTTCTTACAAGAATACTTACACAAATGCTTTTGTTTAAGTAACACCTGAAAATAGGTTATTTAAATTCTGGGTATCGCTTTTTTAAGATGATACATGTAGCAGGAAGAAAAAGTTCGTTCTGTTTGGTTTTTTCATTTGTTTGTTTCAGCAAATTAAAATGGCCTCTGTATGGCCCTTATAGGAGGCATGTTCGTTTACTTAGAAGTAGTTCTTGACATTTCACATTAAATCAAGATGACATTCAGAATTCATTAGATGGCTCATGAGATCTGTAATTTGTAGTCCGGGGAGAGAGATCTTTTAAAGGAGATGTGAGTGAATTCAGTAGCACACAGAAAATGTGCTGAGGGGGTTGCCCTTGCATTTTCCTTCTAGGATGACCTTTTAGTTTATTTCACATTTCATCATATTTCTCTCTATAGCAATGGCCTTTTTAACTTAACGCAATTCATTTCATATTTCCGTCTCCTTCCCCCATTCCTGTGTCTACCCTGAGTCCAAGGTTTGCTGTTTCCTGCCTCGCTGAAAAAAATAATAAAAGTGAGGTAGCGTATTAAAACACAAAGTAAGAGAATTACAGTTGAATGGAAAATTAATGGATAAAATAAGATAAAGCCCAGGGATATATTCACAACAAAATGCATGCTACAGTAGCCTGAGTACTTACAAGAATTAGGCAGTGAGTTCAACCCTGAACTTGCTTTGCCTTGAAAAGGATGTCCATTGATAAGTCTCCACAAGACATAATTCTGAAGTATACCTCTATCCTGGTATTGAGGCCTAGGGTAAGTTTTGCCCCTGGGACTTCTGAGGACTCTGATGGGGTCATCCATGTTAACATTCCTAGAAGTAAAATGACCAATGTCATGTGGTACAGTACAGATCGATGATATATCGGAGTGCAATTCAGTGAGAGCAAATCCTTAAATCTTCCAAAGTACCGGAGTCCCAGTAAATAGCTCTTTAAGACTTAGCTCCACCCACACATAAAAAAAACAAATTCTGGAGGAATTGTTGTCTGCGTATTCTTATTAAGGCAATCCTCTGCAGATACTGATTTTTCACTCTGACAAGCCTTAGAAATGCCTAGTGTCAAACTAGGTATACTTGGAAGCTAAGGCTAAAAAGTACACACCTGAATCTTCCACCGCCTACTCAGCATCTCATTTGACTCTCAACAGGTTGCAAAGTGCATGTCTGGGCAACATATTGTCCACTGATTTAGCAGAAAGCTACACAGATGAACCTAATGAGAATGTGTGGGCAGGTCCACTTTTCTGTTTGCTACTCATGGGCAGATAAACATCAAATGCATCCCCAAATTAGCAGAACCAGATATCTGGTTCATGTCAGAAAGCCATGTCATTAGGGAAAGTGCCTATCACTGTTTTTGAAGAGGTTGTCCCCACAAAGTTATCTTTATAACAGATTATATCACTTAATACCTCCATTTTTTTTTTACTCTCAGGAAAAAGAAAACACGAGTTTGAATAAAATCATTTACGTAACCGATTCGTTCATGTTCTGAACAGTAGAGATGAACTTCATCCCTACCTGTCTGCGTCATCAAGATGTTGAGACAGATTACTTTTGGAAGGAGGGGTCCAAGTTTTGTTTGGGAGAGGTGGGTCAGGAGGTGATGTCCCCTCTGAGCTTGGTGACAGTCCCCTCCATCTTCCTGTCTCCTTTAGCCAGTTCCTAGCAGATTGCCAGATGCTGAAGGTCTAAGCGTCTGACTTCACTGCATCTCCTAGCCAGGGTCCTCCTTCAAACCCTAATCATCTCTTTTCTGAGCTGTTACAATGCACTTTCCAATTACTGGTTTCCAGCCTTCTCATATTTCTCATTCATTTTAATAGTTTTTCACTTACAAAATTAATACATCACTATAGTTAATGAAGTAATGCATAGTATATAAGCGAAAAGTGAAGAATTGTTACTCCACCACTATGGAGTATATGCTTCTCAATGCCACACTCTGGTTTCTGAAACACTTCTGATCGTATCACTCCCTGATCAAAACCAGACTCCTAATGAAACCCTCTCTGGTGTTCTCACGATCTGTCCCAGTCTTTGTGCCCACCTCCCAACACAGCGAGGTACACACCCCACCCCTCAGTTTGTTGAAATTATAACCACGTGTAGCAGAGCTTGTGATGCCCTCCTCAGCACGCATCACCCCCCCCATCCTCATTTGGGCCCACTCTGTCCCACCTCACTGAGTCTTCCTCTCAGACCCCCTTACTGATTCCTTCTCTTCCCCCTAACCTCTTGAGAGTGCCCAAGGCTCTATTCTTGGGGGTCTCATACACTGTTACGGCTTTAAACGGCAACTCTATCTTGACGCCTTCCAATTTGGTATGGGCCAAATTTCTGGCATGGGCCTCTCCCCTGAACTCCAGATTCATATTCAACTGTGTACAGTAAGCCCCCTACATACGAACCTTCAAGTTTCGAACTTTCAAAGATGCATCAGCGCGTTCCATCAGCGTCAGGCGTGAGTGAAATCGCAGCTTGCCCTCCGTCTCGTATTACTGACGATCCTTCAGCTCTACCATCTCCCACCTCCTCTCCCTCCTCCAGTCAGTAACTCTTCTCGCCTGTTCACTTGATGCCAGTCCCTGGATGCCAGCTGTTGTACTGCACTGCTGTACTTTTCAAGGTACTGCATTGTAAGATTAAAAATGTTTTCTTTATTTTTAGTTTGTTTTTTTATGTATTATTTGTGTGAAAAGTATTATAAACCTATTACAGTATACTACTATATAGCCAATTATGTTAGCTGAGTACCTAGGCTACATTTGTTGGACTTAGGAACAAATTGGACTTACGAACGTGCTCTCAGAACAGAACTCGTTCGTATGTAGGAGACTTACTATGCTTGGCCTTCCAGTCGAATGTCTAACAGATGTCTTCACTCAGTGTCTACACTCAGAATCTTTTCTCTCCAGGTCCTACTATTCCCTGCCCTCCCACCCCGACCACAATCTCCTCCGTCTCGGTTTATGGCAAGTCCATTCTCTTAGTTGCTCAGTCATCCTTGACTTTGATGTCTCTCTGTCTCTCTCTCTCACCCAATCTGTAAGCACATCCACAAATCCCACTAGTTCTACATTTAAAATATACTTAGATTCTGACCATTCATCACCACCTGCACCACTACCGCCCTGATCACAGCCCCCATCATCTTGCCTAGAAAACCAAAGTACCCCACTAACTGGTCTCCCTGCCACCACCTTGATCTCCTATAGTCTATTCCCAACACAGCAGCCAGAATCCTTGCAAAACAGGTCAAATCATGTCTCCTCTCTCTTCAAATTCCTTTATTCAAAACCTTAACTCAGATGAAACATGCAGATACATACATGAGGATTTTTGCTTTATGGGATCAGCACAAACACACAAACATATGTATATATACAAATTACTTGTAAGTTTTGGTAAATCAAAAATATTTTAGGTATTTAGAATGACCTCTATTTAAAGAAGTGATAAATCTTTTTAATATATGAATGATTTTTTTCATAATTCGTGTGGTATGACTCAAACTCAAGATTTCCTCTCAAAAGAAGTACAAAGAGTAGGGGCCTTGCATACATCCCTGGTATGGAGATCATTTTAACACTTCCTCAGAGAACTAATTCTTATCCCTACTGCTACCCTCCCGTATGCAGTTGTTATGTTTCAGGGACAGGATTAGTCCCTCAATATCACTAAATCTGTGCTTTGGGACTCTACGGTCTATGATTAGCCTTTCTTTTCCTGGCACACACACTGAAATAGATGATCTGCCTTCACTGCAGCTGGTAAGAAGCAATGTCATCCCGTGGCCTATATCGGTGCCTAGCATCTTAATTTGTGCCTTCGGAACAGAACGGTGTCTCTTGCAGGAGCTGTCCTCACTCGTCTCGACAGCAGAGGGCGACCGAGAGAGCATGTTCCTGGTGCCCTAGCGGCTGCCCCAGCCCACTTTTCGCCGGGCTGCTTTTCGCCTGAGAAGCACTTGTAGTGATCGAGCCTTTCCGTCACCACCAACCCCCCCGCCCCCGCTGTCCCATTGACGTCCTGTGCCGTCCCCTTCGCCACGTTTGGGAAGTCGCTAGTGACTGTTAAGGATGCTATTTGGAGCAAGGACGGGAGGAAAGCTAGAAGGCCAACCTGTTCCGGTCTCCTGGATCCTGGTTTTTTGTGTGTTTTTTGTTGTTTTTTTTAAACTTTTTATTTTATATTGGCGCATAGTTGATTAGCAATGCCGTGTCAGCTTCAGGTGCACAGCAAAATGATTCAGTCATACATATAGGTGTATCTATTCTCTTTCAAATTCTCCTCCCATCTAGGCGTCACATAATACTGAGCAGAGTTCCCCAAGCTACACAGCAGGTCCCCGCCGGTCATCTATTTTAAATACAGCAGTGGTACATGTCAATCCCAACCTCCCTAACTCTCCCTCCCCCCACTCCCACCCCGACCCCCACGACCACTAGCTCCTTCTCTCTGTCTGTTTCCACCTCGCAAATAAGTTCACCCCCGTCACCTTTCTTTTAGATTCCGCACATAAGCGACACCACCTCGATCTCTGTCCGACCCACCCCACCCAGCACGACAATCCCCAGGTCCATCCAGGTTGCTGCAAACAGCACCACCCCTGTTATTCACGCTCAGAGCCAGCTTGGCATTCAGCCTGGACACGCAGTTCGGGAGGTACCACGACTTACCAGGCATCCCGAGCCGCCTCGCTAGGGGGCAGCAGGTGAACTGTACTGAGTCATCTCCAATGAGATCAACACCCATCGGGTTCGGCAATGCTGGGACATGCCTATTTCCACCAAAGCCATCCGCGTGTGGAGAGCAGCCAGGATTGCTTCACGGGGAGACAGAGCTGCCTGCAACGCTGAGCCCAGGTGCTGGCTGCTCTCCTCTGCCCTGGCCTTCAGCGATGCTCTCCTGTGTGGGAGCGCTCCTCCACCCTCTTTCCCAACCCCACGCCCTCGCAGTGCACGCAGCCTGCTTCATGATCAAATTCTTTCCAAGAGCTTTTTGCAGGGTAAAAGCTCAGAATGCCACTACTTGGTAGTTATCTCTCCAGTATTCTCTAATATTAACATTTCAGTGGCTAAAAAGAAGTACCGATTTTCTCATTGCCATTGCCATCCTGTAGTTCTCAACAAGGGGCGATTCTCTCCTCGACCCCGGGGATGGGAAATGTCTAGTGACATTTTTGGTTGTCACCACTTGGAGTGGAGGGTAAAAGAAAGGGATGACACTAAACATTTCCCCATAAAACTCAATAAAACTAATTTTATTTTGAATAAAATATGTGAAAAGAAAATATTTTAGTTTTCTAGAAGTTTCACTTTCATCTTATCTTTTCCCTACTTTAAATTCTTAAGATAACCCTCAGTTCTAAGCCTCCAGGTCTAATTTTCCTATTGCTCTCCAGGCCCATATATCCAAATAACACCAGGGATTTCCATTAGAATGTTACCTCACAGCCTTACCAACTCTTCCAAATCTTTCCCCCAGAATTTGCTTCTCTGGTAGCCTAGTTTGGTTCACTTATTCATTCAACAAACATCTATCCTGTCTAATATTTCTTTGCAACTATAGCACACTCCTGCTTGGCTAAATGACATTTCAGGATTAGCACATGGAAAAACTATTGATCACCCCCCCAACCCATCCCCATCAGCCAAACCTGTACCTGACCCAAACTTACCCACCTTGATAACAGTCATTGCCTCGTGCAAAGTTGCTCAAGCAAAACCCTAGTCATTCTTGATTTTTCTCGTCCCTTCTCATTGGACATACAATTCAAAAGCAACTCCTCTTGACTTTATCCCAATGACATATCAGAGACCTGAGGCAATTGGTTTGGAGCCATAGGCAGGGATGCAAAGAGAATGATTAGGGAGGGGCAAGAATGCGTCTTGGGGCAGTAATCTAGGTCAGAGATGATATAGTACAGACCAGGATGGTGGCAGTGGACATAGAACGCGAGGAAGTTGAGATGTATTTCAGAAACAGAATAGATGGGACTCTGATTATGAATCAAGGATGATTCCCAAGTTCCTAGCCTGAGCAACACAGGAGATGTGATTAGGAAGCCTGTGTGAGGTGAAGGCAGGTTATGGGGGAAACTGAAGATGCCCATTTTTGACAAGTTTTTTTTTGAAATGCTGTTGGACCTCCAAGCTGAGATGTAGGGGCAGCTGATGGACATGTGAGTGTGTAAAGTCAGAAACAGTCAGCACATGGAATTTTTCTGCGGGATCTTAGTTCCCCAACCAGGTATCGAAACTGGGCCATGGCAGTGAAAGCCCAGAATCCTGACCACAAGGCTACCAGGGAACTCCCTCAGATGGGATGTTTTTAAAGCCATGGAAATGAATGGGATTATCCAGGGCAAGTATTCAAGAGAGAACCATAAACTGAGGGGGAAATCAGGAGATGTTGTCCTGCCACAGATCCCAAGAGCAGAGAGCATGTTGAGGAGAGGAAGCCATCCATTCTGTCAAATGTGCCTGGAATGAGGATTGAAAAGGGCCCAACGATTGCGGCAAATGGAATTGGTTTGTGACATGACAAAAGCGATTTCATTTGTGTGTTGGTGGCAGAAGCCAGATAGGAGTGGGCTGAAGGACAGGTGAACTGAGGATATATGGAGGCTGTGTTCCTAGACAGGTCTTCCCAACAGTCATGCTCTGCAGGGGAGTAGAGAAGTGAGGCAACAGCTGGAGGAGGGGTGGGGAGTGAGGGGCCAGTGTGTGCGTGCGAGTGTGTGTGTGTGCGTGTGTTTTGCAAACTGAGAGAGCAAGCATGTATTTATGCTCATGGGAATTATCCAGTAAAAGAGGAGACTGTTGGCAAAATGATGGAAAGAAAGACAGCCCGACAGCCAGATAGAGGGAGCTGTCTTTAATGAAGTGAGAGGATGGGCCCAAGGCTCACTCTTCAGAAAGAGGAATGCACCCTCTAACCTAACATCTGAAGGTTATACCAGGAGGAAGACCTGGGACAAGGTTGCACCAAGTTCGTATCAAGGAAATGGTTTTGCTCATTAAAAATAATGAGTAGAACTATATAAAAAATAGATAATCAACAAGGACCTACTGTATAGCACGGGAACTCTACTCAATACTCTGCAATAACCTACATGGGAAAAGAATCTGAAAAAGAATATATATATATACACACACACATATATATATATATATATATATATATATATATATATATATGACTGAATCACTTCGCTGTATTCCTGAAACTAACACAACATTGTAAGTCAACTATACTCCAATATAAAATTAAAAAATAAGTAGAGAGCAGTTGTAGTATTTATGGGGAGAAACTAAAAATTGGTTTTGCAAAGGAAACAACAGTTGCAGCCTAACTCTTTTGAATCCCCAGGCTGGTAGCCACATGTATGATAACTTTTCTTAGGTTTTATTTTTATGCTTATGACCATATTCCATGTTGTCAGATTAACAAAAATCGTTTCTTCAACTTTCCTATGATTTGATTTTTC